GGGGGGGGGGGGGGGGGGGGACACGACATTTGCTTGAGATGGTTTGGGCAGTGATGATCCTGCCTCACGCAGGGGGTTGGACTGGGTAACCTCCAGAGGTCTCTTCCAGCCCTGCTCTTCTATGATTCTGTAATGATTCTATGAAGAGAGAATGCAGTAGAGATGGTCTCCTATTAGACTTCCTTATTTTTATGTATTACAGCACGCATGTAGAAAAGATTCTCAGATATTAATGCTAATAATAATACTAATCAAATGTAATTCAAAAAGTGGTATTCGTGAAGTATTACCCTTGCTTTCTTCAGATTTAATAAATTTGGTAATTTACAATCAGCCTCTTAGCCCAAATTACACTAACTGACAATCTACACAAATTAAACTTTAGCTGTCAAAAAAGTTCTGGGCTCTGTGAAGAGGCAGCTGGGTTTCAAAATGTGTGCTCTCACACAACTCATTCCCAGAAATATGCTTTGCACCCCTGCAGCTAAACTGCTGTGTCATGAGCACCTTTGCAGCCACATAAGAATTAAGTACAGCTCTCAAGGGCTCCATATTGCCCCTTAGGCATCGTGGTAGCTAGACCAAACTAGACATTTGTTAGGAATTGCAAGCAATGTTTACTGGGATGGGAATAGCACTTCCCTGCTGCTCACAGACCAACCAGTAGTGTCTAAACAGGAATGGGCGGAGAGATGCAGTCTGGATAGGAAAACAAATCTATTTGGGTTGCTGATGTAACCACTGTGAAGCCACAGATGCAGCACTGGGGAAAATGAGTGAATCTGCAATAAAGGATGGAGTAACCACAGGCCACCCAAAAAGGCTCTGGAGGCATTGGGGGAAATAGTGGAGCATATAAGCACTCACCGCAAAGCAGATGGCAGCAGTACCTTCTGTGTACTGTGGTTTAGGAGAGGATTAGCATACCTTCAGAGGTGCACAGGACCAACCAAGTGCGCAGCCCGGTTGGTTCTCATCACAGCCAAAACCTCCTATGCTTACCTCTGATTTGTTCCACTTCGTCTTCAAATGTCACAGAACTCCTCCGTCGAGGAGGATAAATGCAGTGCGGGTGATGAACTCCATCTGAGCTGTAGTCTTCAAGCAGCATCACATCTGTACCTGCAAGGTCAGAGTTTTTTAAACAAAACTTACTTGCTTCCAAGCAAATGTTTGGAAATCATAACTCCCAAGAAGACCTACCTAAAATTAAAGAATGACAAAAACTTTTTTGTAGGCTTTAACCCTCACTTTGAAAGATGCCTTAGCTCTGCAATTTCAGCGTCACTCTGTTTTCAATGGCAGAGACCATCTAGATTGAATTAAATAGAAACAGATAAGGATACTTGGGGAATTTAGAGGACCATTTGCAGCTAGGTATTCAAATCCTTAGGAGATTTCTTAGAGTGCACCTATCCTGCTTCTGTGGCACTCCCAAAAGCACTGCTGAGAAGGCTGGTCCTATCCATCTGCTCTTGCATCACCACTCCAAACCTGGAAATGAGGCTGTGAGGCTTCCCTAAGAGTATCTCCTGCCCTAAGGGCACCTCTGTATCTGGTGTGCCTAAAAGTGGTAGTAGGAGAGGTCCTCAGGGTGGCTTAATTTCTGGGTTTTGTACATACAGAGCTGGAATGGGCAGGCGGGGCTTGCTTCTCAGTGATATTCTCAGGGGACCTGCAAAGCAATATTGATAACCCAGGGTGCCAGGAAGAGAAGGGTTTTCCTATCATCCTTATCACCTACTGCCATCAAAGCACCTGCTATTCCAAACTAGAATAAGGTTCCATTCAGGGAAAATCCCACTTTGACAGCTTTCTGCTCTCAGCATGCGAGTCACAAGCTGGAAGAGAACAATGCAGTTCATCAGCTAGTAGAATGTCTTCTGCTGTCTCTATTGCTCCAATGGATTGTAAATGGGGATTTTAGATGCTCCCCCTCCCCCCTCAGCTGGGAGTGAAAACTACTGCCAGAAAAATCCTGGCAGAGTCCCATGTGCATTTCCTGGTTATTTGAGCTAGACAGAGAGCTTCTGCCCTGTACAACAGACTCTAGAACAGAATGGCCAGATGAAACCTCTAACAAACACTTTGCTTGCTCAGCTCCTTGTAGGGACAAGGAAGGTCACTGAAGAGTACTAGAAAGAGAATAGAGTAATAGGACGTGCTTTTAAGGGAAAGAAATTAGTCTGCTGGACTAAGCACAGCATAGACACAGTAAGCTCCACATAAAAGGAGAGGAGCAGCTAAGGCTGTTCTGCTGTGAGTACCACAGAGAAATGCTAAATATTATTCTTCTCCTACCCAAAGACATTGCTATATAAATGCAGGCTACCCCACAGAATTCTGCAAAAGTGCAGGCAAACTTCTGTATCAGAAAGGAAAACAAGAGCGTTACCTGACTCCTGGGAGCAGCTGAAACCAGTGTCACCCGTGCTGCTGCTGTTTCCTAATGGTCGTCCACCAGCCATGAGGGCTGTGAGATGGGGAGAGAGTCCCAAGTCTACAAAACAGTGTTAGCACTACTAAGTTGTGCAGATTGACTATAGCCATTGCATCATCAAACAACATCCACATCCTAGTACCAATTCCACCTGCTAGCTTTCCCATTTGTCCTTCTCCCAATGGCCATGTCATAAGACAGGCCCTATTGCCAGTCCTTCAGAAACCCAAGTCATCAGATACCAAATCATTCTGGATTATTTCTACAGGGCAAGTACTTGCCTGCTCTCAGCACTTTGCAAATGTAAGCATGTTATTGGAAGACTGGACTGAGCCAACAAACTCAAACATTTAGCACTGCAAAAATTGCCAGGTATTCTTCAGCCACAGAAGCTTCATGGAGCTATAAAAGATCCTCATGAAAACCAGGTGCTCAGTTGCATGGCTCAGTAACTCTGAGCTAGCTGGAAACCTGGCCTTTTACAACCTGTTCTGGGAAAGAGGATATTCTGGGTTCTTTTCTAGGTGTTGTCTCTGGAGCCAGTTCTGGGGCTTTCTTTTTTTCTATCAGCCTTTGGCTGGTAAATGTAGGATAAATTTGAAACTGTCTCTTCCCCCCAAATAATACTTCCTATCCTTCCAGGGTCTTACTCTCAGAATTTCCTGGCTGAAGCAAATTCCATGCCCTTCCCTCAGTGTTCTTGGTTCTCCTTTCCTGTTTGGGGTCTCTTTTCCTCCAGTGTTGACCTGGGCACACAGCTCTCCCACCAAAGACTATGGGAGAGGCCCAATTCCTAGAAGTTTTAAAGGGTTCAGAATAATACTTCATTATTCTACAAGATAACTAATCTCTGAGGAACAGCAGAGGCAATGGAACTGTATGTCTGCAAACTAAGGAAATCAACTGTATCGGAACAGTTTGATTTCATTTACAAGATTCCCTTCACAACCACAAAGTTTAGAAACTATTAGAAAAAAATGCCCCCTGGAAGATGTGAATTTTTCAACTCTTGTACCTATTTTAATATACTACATAACATTTGATCTTCAGAAAGGGAAATATTATTGCAGCTCAGAGGGAGGTATAAGCTCTTCTGGCCAGAGAATTTGCAAGTTGGATATTTAATATTGCAAAGTTCTTCTTAGGCTTGATCCAAAGCCTGCTGAAACAAATGGAAAGATTCCCACTGATGTCAGTGGATTTAGGGACAGACACATTAAGAAGAGGAAGAATGTTCTTGCTATTTCTAAACAGGCTGCAAGTTTTGAGCAGTTACTTACTATCTACAAACCCATTTTCCTTCCCTGTTACACCAGTACAAACATGACTGCTTGCTAGCAAAGCTGCAGCTTGGCCTCTCAGGCCTTCCAGCATATAAAATATCTTTAAAACTAAAAAGAGTTAGAAATAGGGACTAGTCTTGGGAGGCTAATGGGCTTTCTCTAAGACCTGAATATAAAAGGACTTTGTGGAAGAATGAATTATTTCATTATTTAGCACCCACAAGACAACACTTGCACCCCATATAGTTTAACAATCCAAAAGGCAGACAGAAAGATGGTGGGATAGGCCTGGATATCTCCAGAGGGTAGTAAAAAATGTAGTTGCTTTTAAACATAAACTCATTGCATGTGGGTCTTGTGGGAGGATTTTAAAGGGACAGTTATTATATTTAAACTCTCACTTCTGTCTGCAGGAGTTGTACCTTGGTGTTTTACAAGGATCCCCTGAAATTACAATAACCAAAAGAAATTAAAGATTTTTTTTCATTTTGTTAACTATAAACATTAATTTCTAGTAAACTTCACTCTTTCCCCAGTATAATCAGTCTTCCTGGTGTGGTTCTTTCACACAGTAGGTGGTATTTCTCTCCTCAGAAACACCCATTTTAACTTTAGAAAACATTTAGATCTCAGGGACAAATCAAGTCTGGAAAAGTTTAGCCCATGAGGTAAAAGTCTGGGGAAGTCATAATGAACTGGCTGCATAATCTTACAATGGAAAATCTGGGGCAGCGTTCACTAGAACTAAAGAAAGGGACAACCTCACAGGGAGGTGAAACCACTTGGCAAACAAATTTATACTGAGCTTTAGTTGCTGAAAATATTTACACTTTGCTCCTTAAAAATATCCTAGGCTTGATTCTCCACTCTGTTACACTTGTTTTGCACTTGTTATATTCAATGTCATTCCACTGTCAAAGGGTTTTCACCAGCATAAAATCAGGGAGATGTAGTAGAAAATCAGTTCTAGTGAATATACTGCTGATACTGTTTAGCTTGAATAATCTGAAATAGGGTGTGTGTCCATGTGTGTGTGGAGGGTAGAAATGAGGGAAGGAAATTATTTTTTACTAGGCCCACAATTGTATCTCCTCTGGCATACAAAATGTTGCTCTATGAAGAGATGGGAGTGAGGAGCAAGGGAGATTACCCCAAACTTCCTTCAACTCAGTTATGTAATCTGAACAGAAATCTATTGAAACACCCCCATACACACACACCCACAGCAAAGAAACCTCTAGGCCAGAAATTCTCAACCAGGGTGCCTCGAGATGCTTTGAAGGGTGGTACACACCATTAGCACTATTAGCTTTACAAACATAATTCACAAGATAAACCCAAAAATTTCAAACAGAAATCCATAGTTCTGTTTTTTCTGAGTTCTTTGCAACAGAAAACCTGTTGCATTATTTTTCTGTAATCAAAAAAGAGTGAACATGAAGAGCTGGTATTTTCCAGGGGGTACCTCAAGTCTATCCAGTGGTCCCTTGAGTCTAAAAAGGGTTGAGAGCCACTGCTCTAAGTCATGTTTACCCAATCTATGAAAGATGTATAGTAAGTGCAGATCCTAAGCATCATCATTATTTTTTCATTGGAAGAGTATTTCTTTTTATCACTCTGTTTGTTACCTGTGATCCTATTGGAAATGCTGAATAACCTGGTTGTCCTATTACGTTGAACAAATGACTCCCGATAATACCGATCACCAAAGCACATTCCTAAGAGTTCCTTGCGCACAGTTTTGTTCCACAGTCCATAGATCAGCGGATGGCAAATGGCACTTGAAAATGACAGCCACGTTGCTAATGTCTCCAAAGCAGGGGAAATGCTGTTTTTCCCCCAAAGTGCCTCTGATGTGATTACAACCATATAAGGCCCCCAAGTGATCACAAAAGCACCAATCACAACCAAAATAGTGATGAAAGCTTTGCACTGATTGGCTGAGTAGACAACCCCTTGGAAAGCATTCCTTCGACTGCCTGAAGAGGAGGTGGAGGTGTTAGAGTTCTTTCTCCCATTCCTCTGTGCATCCTCCTCTACAATGACCACGCTGCCACAGTGAATTTTGCGTGCCTTCACCCGAGCCACGCGAAATATGAATCCGTAGCAGATCATCATCACCAGGAAGGGCAACAGAGCACACCAGATCTGCCAAAAGGCAGTGTAGCCTGCCTCTTTATGCCACGCAGCCACACACATCCATTTGAACTGGTCAAATTCCAAGGAAGACCAGCCAAAGAGGGGAGGGAGGCAGCCAATGAGGGAATGTAGCCACACGTACACCAGGGCTACCACCGCTCTGTTTCCTGTGATCTTCATTGGATAAACCATCGGGTACAGGACAGCATAGTACCTGGGAAACATAAAAAGAAGCAGAAGCTTTATTAAAAGGTATAACAGTTCACTGGCTAAGTCCAGTTAACAAGAGATTAAGATTTCCCCTTTCCTCATACCCCAGAGAAACTCCTTTCCTCCCAAATCTCAAACTGAATCCAAGGGACACTATTAAAAATGCTTCCTATTTTTACAACGGTTACTTTCCATCAGGAATTCAAAATCAAGAAATGCCTCCATTAAAACTGCACATGCAGCCATCACTCTGCCATTTTCCTGCCACTGATTCAATAATGCAATCCTGGGATAACCGTTCAGATGTACTTTGTGATATCCTGGGATAAACTGTTAGTACTTTTTATCCTGTGAGCATTTTTAGGATTTATAAGAGACAACAGGCGTGGACAAATGAACAATTGCACGATATGAGCGACTGCACTTTGTCCCAGGATAAAACGGTTTATTTACTCCAGGACAAATGAGACTTCTGTTTGTAGCCAATGTGGACTGAATTGCTGTGTGCCACAAGACAGCAGCTTACCGATCAATAGCAATGAGGCCCAGGGTAAGCATACTGGCCGAGCTGATCAGCATGTACAGCAGGGCAGAAAAGTTGCACCACACCACTCCAAAGATCCATTCCCGCCTGATGGAACTGGTGACGACAAACGGCAGCACCAGTATGGAGAGGAGGAGGTTGGACAGCGTCAGGCTGAACACAAACTTGTTGCTTAGTGTTAGGAGGTAAGACTTCCTGTAGAGGGTCACGACAATCACCAGGTTGCCCAAACAGATGAAGATAGCAATGACGATAATCGCCACTGACTCTGTCACTCTGACGGCCCCATCTTCCTGGGTTGTGAGGTTCCTCAGGCCTTTCCCATGGCTGAGGGAAGAGTTGGGGCTCATTGTCAGAGAACACAGGAGTAGAGCAGCCAGTACATGCTGAGCAACTGGAAAAAGAAGAAAAATCACTCTACAACATTCATCCAAGCTCTGTCAGAATTCCTAAGTCTCTGCATCTTTATACAAAGATCTCAGGGCCCTTTTCTAGCTATCAATCAAAATTCACAGTGCCCAGAAGCTGATAACCACTTCAGATGGGTGAAAAGAGGGGGAAAGACTTGCCCTAGGTCATATACAGCCAGTGAAAGTCAGAGCCAAGCAGAGAAGTCATATGGACAAGTGAATGATGGACAAGGAGACATTTTGCAGCATTTTAATATTTTCCTTTTTTTTAATTTCAAAACTGACCAGCCATTCAATAAGCCCTGCCCTCCCCAACACTTTATTTCAATTTAAAAGCAGTTATGTAAAGAAAAAGCATTTTAAATTGGTTTCTAATAGTCTTAGCGTATGCAGGAGACAAGTTTTCTTGTTGTGTACTCAATAAGCCAGTAGCTAGTCATACAGAGCTGACTAATTTCTAGTTTCTGAGTTAACATTAAAAGCAGCTAAAAATGCAGCTAATACTTTCCTCCCATGTCTCTTGTCCATGTAATCAATCTCAAGAACTGAGAAAGGAATGGTGTTTTATTGCTAGTGGTTGAAGGAGACTGTCCTCTGGTTGACTGTCAAAAGGAATAGGTATGTGCGAGGGATACGTCTTTTAGTAACATCTGGCCCACATTATAAAAATGTTTGACAGAACTTTGATCTAAGAGATATCAGTGTTTGTCACATCTCTCAGCTGAATGACATCATGCTCTCTCCAGGCCCCAGAAACATTGCTCTTGGATCCCCAGTAAGCTACCACAACCTTGCACTGTTTGCTGTATTCCTAACTGCTTACTAACTTTTGATTCCAATGGACTGCACAATCTCCTCTGTGAGCTTCAGACATCGTCTTCCCACTCCTTGCTGCCTCAACAGGCTGCTGATATCCTTTTTATCTTAAGAAGCACCACTGCTTAGCTATCTGGCCATTGTATCAATGCAAGACAACCTCATCAACTCTGCCTGGGGCAGGCCAAGATGGCCATCCACACCAGGAGAATATTCAACAGGGAAGAGTAAGTGCTTTGACTGCGGGACCTATTTCCCTTCCCTCCATATATCAAGTCTCTAGAGAGAGGTCATCTGGGAAGCATCCACTGGCTTCTTGAACTCCTACATGGGAGACTGGGCTCCACTTAAGGTTCCCTACTCAGTATCCCCTTCTGGATCCTTGCTTTTGACCGTATACCTTCAATCCTCATACAGTTTTGTTCATCTGTTGTCCTCCATAATCAGTTGAGCCCTCTTGTTTTTCCTGGTCTGTTGAAAGAAGATCTTTTTGTGTTTGGGGACAGACCTTCCTTTTGGCAGAGGAAGTACACAGGGACCAGACAGACCCACAACCTCAGCACTGCTTTTCCCAGTATGGCAGGTTTTTCTCCTTCCACAGCACCATAAAGAGAACCAGAGGAAGCCACCAGGCAGCCATCTCGCTGTTCTGTCAGTGAAGTCTTGCACTCTCACACATGTACACATATGCACAAAAACACACACTGCATCTAAACAGTCGCGCACACATGCACATGCACACACACACCCCAACAAAACAAAGCATGAATTACAAAAAAATTAGATTCCAATGGATATGAACCTGGTGCTAAAACTGTCTGGGGAGCAATGACACACAGTGGGTGTCCTGACTCTGAAAGTGACCCTGCCCCATACCTAATTGGTTGACAATATCCAAAAAAATACTCTGCATTTATGAGTTTGTTAAAGGAACAGAAACACTAATCAGCTAAAAATCTATTTTTTAAACAAATGTCTTCTGTGTGCTACTAAGTAAAACTTTAATGAATTAAAATCAGAAGATCTTTTAAAAATCTTTGGCTTTTCACTCCTAAAGCTGTTTGTTTCCTTTTTACCTTTCATTTGGTGCAGACTGTGGTCATTTTGGACCAGATCTCTGCCATTATAATGGTTCCTTGGTGATTTAGCAGCTGGCACAAATTAAAGCAGCTTTTAGATGGGGCTAATTTATGCCAGAGTCCAGGAGTGCTCAAAGAAGTCCAATTGTGGTTTAAAATCAACTTTTCCTACTTCCACCTCAGCCACGCAGAGGACTCTTCTGTCACAGCCAGGTTTTTTGCCCTTTCATTTTCATTTGCAGTCATACTTGCTTCCAGGTGCTGACAGAATGCTGCTATGTTTGCGCTGCTCCACCAGAAAAGGATGCTTACAGCCCAACAAAAATCCTTTTCAGCAGTATTAAAAGCCATGAAACATTATCATTATGTGACTTCTAAGCTGTTTCTGTAAAAGCAATAAAAACGCTGCTTTGTTTGGAACTAAACAATTTTGAAAGCATCTTTTGCATTTAACAAGAGCAACCCACAAATGGAAATAAAAAATAATGCTAAAGAACAGAGGGGATGTACATTTTAATTTTTAAAAACTTTTTAAAAATGGTGTTAATATCAATAAGGTGAAGAAAATGCATTTGGAAAACTCACAGATCACAACCCCATGTGGACACGTGCCCTGTAGATACCTAAAAGAATCTGCAACACATGGCCAGAGCCTTCCTGCATCTCTTAAGCATCCACAAGCATGGTCTGAAAACTTGACCTTTAACGAACAGAGAACAGATAGTGTCAGACAAGTCAGCTAGGCGATGACTGGAGCCCTGGGAGACAGCAGTGGGAGGCTAATTGCACTAAAGTGACTATTATGCCAGCACTCAATATTCCCACTGGCACTACGCTGATGGTAACTGGCACGGTAGGCTAAGATGCAAACCTGAGAACAAACCTAGTCGATGGTGTCTGTGCAGCATCAGTTATCGATTGTGTGTGTGCCTGCAAGCTCTGTGTGCCTTGAGGTGGTGGCCAAATGCGGGGTATCACACTACACTCCTCCACTCCAGAGAGCTCCTATGGAACAGGCAGTGCAGCGCAGTGCAGGAAACACAGGGTTTTACTGCTCTTTTGCTTGTCTCTCCTAGCACTGCCCCTCTTGTCTTTTGTATGCTAGTTTCTCTCTCCTTGTACTCTGCTTCCTGTGTGTCTTTGCACAGCATCTGATGAAGTGAGCTTGGGTTCACAAAAGCTTCTGCTCTGTGTGTGCGTGCACATATGTGTACAGATGTATGTGTAGAGATGTGTGTATATGCGTAGAGATGTGTGTGTAGAGGGGTGTAAGGGTAGGGTAGCCATGTAGGGGTGTGTGTATGGGCAGAGACGTGTGCGCAGAGGTGTGTAAAGGTAAGGTAGGTGTGCGTGTATATGGGCAGAGGTGTGTGTGTAGAGGTGTGTAAGGTCAGATGTGCGTACGGGTAGATGTGCATATGCAGGGTGTGTGTTGAGAGATGGGCATGTACGTGTAGGGGCGAGGCGTATGTGTGTGCACGCACATATGTGAGTGTGCAGAGGCATGTGCGTGTGTGCAGGGGCAGATGCATGTGCTGCAGATGTGTGCAGCTGTCGGCAGCGGGACAGA